CAGAACTGATTCAACTTTAACTGTAAATGCATTTCTCCAGGATCAAACCACACTTACCAGTGTGACAGCAGGAAAAAGAAAGGAAAGTCCCTTGAAAATCTATTCTTAAAAGCTGAAACCTGGTATATAACACTCTAATCCACATGGTAAGCTGAGTGAAATGTAGCAGTGTTCACCCACCTCTCTTAGGTGACAGCAGTTGAAGTGCACTGTATTAGTTAATAAAAGCTCAGCACATGGTACTGTAATGTGCCAAGCAAATTCCAAGTTTGACTAAAAATTCATTTCCTAGATATGGCAGAGTAAATTTTGGTGGCTTTTTCTTTAACACTAACAGCACATCAACATAAAGTGGCCTATAGAAAGCAACAGTTCTTCATCAAAGTTCCCATTTGGGGTTTTAACTTTAAACAGAATGTAAATATTTCTAATATTCATATTGAAAAAAAATCTTTGAAACATCATTTTATACAAAGTAGAGATCATCTTACAAATAAGGATTGAAACTATGATTATTCATTACATTTATGGGGCGTTTCAACTGTGCTACTGACCATAATTCTCTGAAAGACTTATTAATTGAAGCACGATCAACAGATATTAGTACAGATTTTTTGATTCAGTAATAAATATTTTCTATGAAAGAAAGCTATAGAAATGGAATCTCTTTATACATGCAGTTCTGAATGAATCCTAAAAAGATAATTAATAATGGCAAATTAATCCTTGCACTAAACCTTGAAGAGTTCATGTAGTTTACAGAAAGGCAAATCCATTCCACCAAAATGTAATCTTTCTTCATAAGTCATCACTAGCAGAGAAAACTACAGAAACTACAATAAAGGTCTCAGGTACTGCAATTGGCCAGAAGGAAATGCAGTATTCAGAGAAACATCTTGTGCCCACAAAGACTCAGCTACTTCAGAACTGAACCAAAGCAGCCACTCCCCTGAGCGCTGGACTGCTTAGAGCCAGCCAGAAGCAGGCACAAAGAAGTATTTAGCTACTGTCTGCCACTGGATTTAGGTAGAGAAATCAAGCAAAAAGGTTGTTCCCTCTTCTTAGGAAGGAGACCTGCTCAGTTTTGGAGTCAAACCATTACTCTCCTGCTCCCAGGAGACTTGAATCACTACTGAAACACACTAAACTGAGCAGCACCTATGCTAAATTGAATAGGATCACTTTTCATCCTTTTTGTGGTATCTGAACTACTGATCCAGGAAAAAATGGAAGATTCACAGGAAATGAAAGACTAACAACTATTCAGCATAGTTCTTAAGTTTATGGTATGAAAGAGTCATGACACTTTTTTCCAAAATTCTATACATTAGCAGTTACCAGGCTTGAGAGGAAAAAATGATCCAGAAGTACAACAGATCAGGTAAACTAGATTAGTAACAGGGAAGGAAGCCTTTTCCTAGCAATTTATATGTAATTAAATGAAATCATACATAGCTAATGAAAACTGTAGAAATCCTGAACTAATATCTACAGAGTCAGGATTTCATAACATGAAGGTAAACCAGCCACTTCTAATTCAGTGCAGGGTTTTTAACAGCTACAAAACAAAGGGAAAAAAGAAGCAGTAATAATATGACTAAAAATGGAAGGACTGAACCACAGAATATCATCATCCTACCAACTAACACATCTTTAATTCAGAATATGGGAGACTTCCAGAACATAAATTCATTGACTGAAAGGAAAACTTGACCTTGAATGCAGTTAGTCCCTGTCTTCGCACACACATAGTGCATATACTACAAATAAGTGACCCTGACCTTGTGAAAGATGACCCTGCAGTCAGGGTAGTTGCAGCTTCTCTCCTGTACTGCCATGAGATTGGTTTGAAAAATAAACATAAATTATGGACAAATTAATTCGTCACATGCAAATCAAAAACTGGAAAAGAAGGCTACTCACAAATGCTTATTAAGCCAACTGAAATTATCATATCTCTATCCTTATCTTCTGTTTCTAATTAACAGAAAATGGAACTACCTAAACAGTAGCATATGGTAAAAATGCAAAGCAAGAAACAATTCTTCAACCCCACGTTAATTAAATGGAGATGAAATGACTACATTCTTCTCTGCATGTTCAACCACTCTTTTTATTTTTTTAATAACATCTTTTCATGCAGCTTTTTTTTTCTTTTAAGCCCAGTCATTTCTGTTCTTTAAACAGAAACAGAGAGAGCAAAGAAAAACTGATATCTGGACTCTGGAGGAGATGAAAATGTAGATCAAATAATCACTCAATAATCACTTAGATGCATTAAGCATCTTAAAACTGACAGATTTTAACTTTGTATTTGCACCTACAGAAACAGGACAACAAACACAAAAATAGAAAAAACAAACATCACATTAGTTGTTGCACTCTCCCAACTACTGAAAGGCTAAGTCAAAGTATAACTCAAACAACAACTTCAGAAATCCAGTACAAATTTGGGTAGAATTTTAAAATATAAAATCTAAGTATAGCTAGTGCAGTTACAATTAAAAAGTGTCATTAAAAATAAATGCAATAAACTGATGAGTAGTATTTATTTTAACATTAGCAGATAGTCAAATGTGCATGGTATTAAATTATAGTCAACTACACTACTAAAAATATATGAGGGGATTCTGAACAAATCCTTAAATCAACAAATTAAATACTGCAGAAAGACAATGGCGTGAAGCAAAAAAATTTTCATTTCACTGCAATCTACATAACAGAAACTATTTTTAATTATACATTAGTGATCTTTACGGAATAGTAATCAAAGCCTATGAACCTTTAAACAAACAAAAGAACTTAGGGTTTTTTAACTACTGCTTAGCCCATTTTCTCTCTATCAAATTCAGAAGAATTAGCTCATAAATAAAATAAGCACATGCTATGCCTAACAACATAAACCCAAAAAGAATCTTGAATATTGCAGAAAATAAGACTGGCAAACAAATTCTGAAAATGTATATTTTGATTTACTAACCTGTGTGTTTTACCAAAGTAAGCAGTTTTCTTGAACACACTATTTGCTTGGTTGCACTTTAAAACTCTTAGTTTTATTCAGGATAGGTTTACTAAAAAGTTTGGTTCTGCCTTTACGGAAAAGTGCTAGCTCTCTCTGATAATCTCCTGTTACAATTTGTGATAATAAACAAATTAAGTGAATATTTTCAAAGCTAAAAAGTAAGCAGGGGGAAAGAACTTCTTCCCTTCTTGTACCACAGTACGTGTAACCCAGGCTGTGGGCACTGGCAAGTCTATGGCACTAACAAAACAAGTCAGATTTCAGCTCTTTTTCCTGACTTGAGAACTCTATGACACATTAGTATTCAGCTTTCTAACTGAAAACAATGAAACAATGCAATCTTGATATGGTAAGACAATGCTGCACATATCTGTTTCCTGAAATACATTCTCTGAACCGCTATTAGCTTTTTAAACACATTTTAAGAATAGCTGTTTCTGTTCACTGCTCACCAACTGACAGTGGATATTTCAGAGATACACTGAAGCCACAGACATCTACAACAATTAGAACAGTACTATTCCACATAAATGTGGCAAGGATACCCTTTTTCCAGAGCTAAAAAATAAATCCAACTGATTTTTTCTAAAACTATTAATATTTTGCAGGCAGCACACTATCATTTAATGAATAAATACTGATTTTTTCCCCCAGTAACTGCAATGACAAACTTTAGTTATCCAGCTACTATTTTTACCTTTGCTTTCCTTTTCTAAGAAAACAGGAGCTCTAAACAGGCACTTCAGATTTAACATTGATCTGACAGTTACAGAAATTATTAAGCACTGGAGCATTTATGAGACTAGTGTAAATCACTAATGCTGTTACTTGCTCTGATTTTTATGTCACTGTTTTCTTGACAAACGGAGCCAGGCTGAAGACATTCTACCATGACAGAATGCTTACAACACTTTTCTGGAATTTCCATAAGGGAATATTCTATAGTTTTAGATCATGAGTTAGTTTTTTTCTCTCAGTATTTCTTACATAGCATGATCTTGTTTCTATTATACACCATGAGTTGTTTCAATTAACTTGGCTTGCATAAATGCAACTGACCAATTCACTGTTGACAAAAATCTACGAGAAATGCCACTCATATCTCCAGTAACAGCTGTCACCAGAAGGGTGCTAAATACGAAATGGACTGATTATGTAAGTGAGGTAGCACACAGTTCACCTAAAAATGTTCTACGAAGTGGAACACCTAAATATTACAGGTGAAAACTTGTTCTTCTTAATTTTTCTGTAAAGTGGATTATCATCATGTTTACATCTCATATTTCAGCCACAGAATAAAGCAGGGTATATACTGTGCTATTCTGAGAGGAAAAATAGGTGGAAACTAACCATATTCCCTTTGATACAAGCGGAGTGTAAGTAGAGTAATGACAGAGTCAAACTGGAGAAGAAACAAGAAAAAGGAATGGTAGGAACAGAAATAATATACTCCAAGAGCATAATGCCTGATATTCGTCTGTATTGCAGAGAAAGCAGTTCAGGCAATTAATATTTTAATATACAGAACTTCAGTTCTTCTCTATGATTTAAGAAACCAGTGGATTTTTCTGAAACACACTTCAAATGTAACAACTTCTTTGTTGGTCAGGCAAGTATCTGTAGATTTCAGACAAGACATTAGCCTCACAGATTGTTTCTTGCCACGATTCACTGTCACTGTATGAATTATGCTCCTTATAATGCAAATCATTATGGTGAAAAATAATTTTGAACTTATATTAATAGCAACAAACTATAGAGATAAAATAATGTAGTACTTATTTTTACCCAAATGAACAGAATAGTTTTGAATTAGACAAGCAGTAAGTAATGATCTACTTTCAGAAAAAGTGTTGGGTTGTTTTTTTTTTCAAATTGTAGGGTTCACTCCTGTGATAATAAGCACCACACACAGTTAAACAGCTTGCACTTCCATTGAGCAAAGGTACAATAGTGAGAAAAAAAAAATCTTCCTTACCTATGTATACAATTCTTAGATTCGAGATAAGCCATACCAGAGGCAGCATCTAATGAAAATTTCACCAACTGTTTGGTTTTTAGCTCATCCTTCTTTTTTCTTAAAAATGACAGGAAATCACCTCCTAGAAAAACAGAAAGATGGACAGTGAGATACGACTGATTTCTCTCTTGGGGTTCCAACATCAAACAAAATGTAGTCATTAGCTGTTTTCCTCACCCCATCCATTTCAGGTTAGCCTGAGAAAAAGGAAGGAACCCACCTTTCAAAATGCGTTTTCCCTTAAACATTAGATGCTTAAAAGTGAAAACTGCACAGAATGCTTTTGATATACCCAAAGTCTTCACCAGTGTACAGTAAATACAGACTCACATAAAAACTGTTGACAAAACCAATTGATAATTTGTGATACATCTTATTCTCTAATCATAGAATGACTGTTGTTTATAAAAACTGTGAATAAAGAGATCCTATTAAAGGGCTCCTATTAGTTACAAGAGAGTAATGAATTTTTAACTGATCATTTGCAGTGATGTTTCTCAAATTCTACACTGATGTGTTTAGAGGGGTAACAAAGCGTTTTACTTCTTGGGCAACGTTAACTGAACATTTGACATGGGCAATGGAAGGTGAACAGCTATTACTGTAACTTCACAGTCTTCTGCCTTGGAGGAACAAAAGTTGTTGTCCTCTTGTCTAAAGAACAGGAGGGGTCAGCATTGAGGATTTCCAAAAAGAAAACTGTATTAGTAAATAAGCTGGAGAGATATTAAACAAACACTGCAAAGACATGTTTGGATTGACATAACTGTATTAAAGATTTTTCTAAAACAGACTTTATTGTTCCAGAAAATAAAATATATTTCATTATTCCAGTGTGTAGCCAGCCATTGCTCCAGTATTTGTTTCTTTTCACTGAGGACTGAATTGACTATAGTGATTATATCTTGCAATCATGCACTGTTACACAATTTTATATACTGCCTTTCTTTGCAATGTGAAATGACAATATATATTAAAAGTTTCATGTGGGTTTTTCTTTTTAGGAGGCCATTTCTATTTGTATTTCATATTGTAAGAAATAAATAAGAATATTGAAGAAAAAAGTCTGATGTTATGAAGAGTAATTGTAATGCCCTTCAAACATGGAGTTGGAGCTGCTCTTTACTCCCAGACTGGGTAACGCACAGACAGGAAATCAAGAGGTGACTGGATGCCCTTGACTCTAAAGCCAATTTGAAATACCCTCTGTTTTGCAAAATATGGTTACACATATTACATTTCCAAAGTCTGACTAGAGTTCATCTTGGGATACTGACTTTTAAACTCTAATGAAATCTTGAAATTACAAATCACTACTGCAAATGGGACTGGGTAATAATCACCTTTTCTTTAATCTGAGAGGTTACTGAAATAGCCTGGTAACTGGCAAAATGTAGGTATTGCCAGAGAGAAGTAAGATAAACACTCTAATTAAATACATGTCATTTCTTACATATGTAAACAGAATTATTCTGGTTACAGTAGTCAGTTAAAAATAATTCTTAAGCAATTCCCCCCTCCAACACATACAACAAGCTGATGAAAATTATTTTATTTATATTGATGCCTTAAGCCCCCTAATGTTTTTTATTTTTCTAATTTTGTAAGCCTTACAAGTTTTATAGGTAATAGAAGTAGATTTTAGAAACAATCCCTTTCTCCCTCCTCCCTGTAGCACCCCTTAGTTTATACATTCCTTAATCCTCTCACCCCATTCCATACCCCCATATCAACCCTATTCCCATATCCAGTAGAAGATGTTTACTCTCTTAGTCAAGGCAAGCCTGTCTTGTTTGGAGAACGCCTGTATCTTGGCCTAAACTGCAGGACAGAGTCAAAGAACGAGGTGACTCTGCTCTCTGTACCCCGAAGATGAGGAAGAATGATAAAGAGGGGGTCTCAAAAAGCCCCCCAACCCAATTCCAGGAGGCGGGCCTGGGGGTGGACCAGGCCAAAAGTTATAGGGTGGACACACTTGGGATTGGCCAGATATTGTTATAAATGTAACATCCCGGGCACAGCCCAGCGCGCGCGTCGTGTAACATCTCTTTGCCTTGGCATAATTAAACCCTTTCTTATCTCACCCCAGCTAACGGCTCCTGAATTTTTTCGTAGCACCAGCTGAGCAGGCATCAATATACTGAGAACTCACTCTTCTGTACATAGGAATCATCTTTTAATTAGTAAGTATGACTGTATGCCTTTATGAATGTGAAGTCTTCCAATCTTGAAAAACTGTGGTGTTACTTGCATGAGAGCAGTAAATCAAGGAAGCTTAAAAAAAAGCCATATAAGACCATCTCAAAAAAACCCTATTCTCAATCAACCAATGTTTCCATATTGAAGACTGAGAGTTTCTAACAATTTACTGCAGGAAAAACTGAAAAGACAGATTAGATCAGTTTGACAATCTGGGAAAAAACCCAAAACCAAACTAACAACAAACCCTTCTCAACTGCTATAACAACAACAGTGTTAAGTCTAAATTCATATTCCTCACAATTTGAACAAATTTTTTGTACAAATAAGTTATTTCTCTCCTCAGCCAACAGTAAAGCAATCTGTTCTCAAGTAACAAGCTACTAAAACAACAAGGTATCAAAAGAAAATCTAACCATATCCATTAAAAAATTTCAGAATAACACATAAATTTGTTTCTAATATGCTCAGGCAATCAGATTAAGATCCTAATTTTCATCAATTCATTTCTGAGTAAGATTAAAAGCTTCTCAGATCCTTACATCAGAATATGTCAAACTCGCAGAGCTCAAGCCCGTACCTTTCCAATGCAATCCAATACAATCAGGAAGTCATTTAGACTTGCTAATTTTCCTGTGTAGCAATGCACTGCATCAAATTCTAGAGTTTTACGCAAAGCGTGCAGAGTATACTTTGAGCTGTATACAGTGTACTTGATGCCTATCACCAAAAACTAGTTTTAATAAAACTATTTGAATCTGTCTCAGAGTTTTCAGTAGCTGTTTTATTTTCTTGTATCTGTCCTTGCATAGAGATTAGAAAAATGTCTTTTAAATATTCTGTTCAATATTAATTTGAAAGTGCTGTTAGTTGCAAACAAAATAAAAGAGTCAAGTGATATTCATCTCATTCTGTATGAGATATGTCAAGTTCGGCTAAATCTGATTATCCTCAGCATTGTGATACTAACATATCACTCAAGCATCTGTTCTTTACATAACAGAATTACTGTTAAGTAAATTCTGAATTTCACTGTGGTCAATGTTCCAGCTATTCGTCTTCACAGCAAAGCATCCACATGAATACCTTCAAAGTTGAATTAAGAGGATTTCACTACAAACTCTTCAGTGTAGAACTGTGGCTATGTAATATCTTTATGTGCTTCTTAAAATAAGTTTAAATATAAAAAGCCCTAATTCACTATTTGCAGCACATAGCATCAGAGCATTATTTCCAGTATAATAGCTGTTGATAAAAATGAAATAAACAGACCAATTAGACTATGAAAGAAATGATACAAAACTAGTATGCAATGTTTTCTTTTGTATGTGGGATTTCCATTGTATTCTGCACGGCTACCTGTTAATCCAGTTAATGGCCCACAAGACTACAAGGAAATGAGGTTTGCTCCAACAACTCTACAAACTACAAAAAAAAATAAATTAGACCATTCTAAATATTATCACCAAGCAGAAACTGACTGCCTGTCTAATACAACAGAATTATTTTACTAAGGAGATGACAAAATGTAGTTCATAAGCATGAACTCTGTAAGAGTAGCCTGTTATAAATGGATTTCTGAAAAGAGAACTTCATGCATTTTGCTGTGAATGGGGACTATTTCCCAATATACACAGAAATTCTGAGTGTGTGAAAATAACACATATCATCAACTCGTAGCGATGGCTGTATTTTACAGCATAAACTTTATGTTGTACATAGCTACTTAAAACTAAGAATTTAAAATAGTAAACATGCATCTCTACCAATTCTAGAAGACAGTTTTTTAAGAAAGTAAGCAGCTATTTGACAAATAATTGAAATTGCAAGGGTTTAGAAATGCTGAAGCACTCATTTTCTTTAAAATACCGTGCCTTCACTTTTCAGTTAATGGATCACTTGAGAGCAATGCAATTCTTCCACTTTATCTTTTTAATTCCTTTATTTTACATATGTAATAGCAGAAACTGTAAATAAACCAATGTTTTTCAACTGCCTACAGAGTACTGTTGTGAAATCATTTAAAACTTCATTTTTCCTGCTAAGCAAAGCAAAAAAAAAGATGTTACAATCATGCAAACTGTTGCCATTGTAATATTAACAATGGTAGTAATCAAGTCTGAGTTGAAATGCATGTATGTGAAAACAAAAGATGAAGTAAGAAAAAAAAAAGAGCTAAAAGAATGGTGTGCATCGAGACACAAGGACATGAGCAGCAGCAACAAACAAGCACACACAGAAAAAATGCGGCTTGCACAAGAACTGTGTTATGGATGACTTTTTAGCAGACAACCTGTGATGAGACCACAGTGGAGAGGACTCTCTAGGACATAATAACTGCACTATAACAAAATGAAGATGAAAAGAAGGTTACAACACATTATATGTGCTATTTCACTTCCCTTTAACAGGATGACAGGCTATAGACATATAATCAAAATAAGGAAAATATTGACAATTGTAAGCAGTCTTGCTTTAGATTTCAGGTGGATCAAAAAAAGCTAGCGAGTGAAGCCAATGTCCCAAGTGGCATAAATAACTGTCCCTCATCATCTCTCAAAAAGAAATCAGAAATCATAGCGAGACATCAATAACTTGCATGTATTGTCTTCTGTGCTGCCAAAATAATGCTACCCAGACTACCTGAACTCTTATGTGGCTCTAAGGATACAGGACTATGAGTGGCTACATGAAACCTACTCCAGAAACTAACTAAAAGGAAAATCATCTTTCCCCAGAAGGTCTTCCAATTCTTCAACAATTAATTCCTATAACTGTACTATGCTTAAAAATCAATAATCAAAAGCCTTGAAAAGGATTCCAGATCAGAGAGTCACGACAGCTGATGTGAAAAAGAATGTATATAAAGAACAGAGGTTTTTT